TATAGCTCCAGGTTGGTAGGTGTTGGTACTGTACCAAACTACACTGAAATTTGACTTCAATAGGTGAGTCCTGTGCTCACACTTCTTATAATAGAGATGCAGCTACACACCTTCTGTTAACCATTAACGACTGTTCCACAGCAATCTTTCCGAGTATTCTGAATCAAAGGACAAGGGTAGAGATGGGGTGCACTTACCTTTTGGATTTGCCCTTTAGATGCATAAACCAGAAAGTTAAGGGTTGGAATAAGCATTGGGTGGCATACATAAGATACTCTTTTCCTCCTCCTTCTTCTTTTTAAAGGGAAGATCAGAGTCTGAATGTACTCATCAAGGAGAAGAAGCTCCAAGAAATCTGATAGGGCTCTTTGTTGCTGTAGCTTTACTTTGAATAATTCTAGTGGCTTGAGCTTGTCCAAGCCTTGAAAGTTACTGAGACCTTCATTTGAATTTGACATGGTAGAAGGGTTTGACTCCCTTCTCAACCCCTTTCCCAGGACTCCCAGGGCTTTCCATGTTCTTTTTCTAGTTATTATCTAGGATCGTTTTTATGAAGGGGACCAACATGGAGGGTATCACTCCTTGTCCCTTAAACCAGGTTGTTGGATATAGCATGACTATCACTAAAACACGAGCACGTGCGCGCGCGCGCGCACACACACACACACACACACACACACACACACACTATGGTTTAATTGAATTCCAAACTGACAACTTTAGAAGTGACACAGCTTGTACCTGAGCGTAGGAGATGCTCTCAGTTGATTTAATTAACTAGGTGGTGTTTTCTTACGATGCTAGAAATATAAGTATGCAAAATAAAAGCGCTGGTTCCTTGCAAAGCCCTCTCACTCTATGCAGTCTTCCTAACAAGAGGTGTTCCTGTAATCGTGCCTCTGATTAGTTATCTCTGGTGAGCAAGGCAGAAAATAGTGGCTGGTGAGCAATTAATCAAATCAGGATCACCAGCTTCTCTTTTGTTACTGTTTCTTTCTCTCTGACCAATGCATGCTGTTTCACTGGCTTGCTAAATGGCAATCATTTTAATTTGTTCACTGGGTTTAGATGAGCAAAATATAACAGCATATACTGTGATTGTTAAAAACTAAATTAACTGAGCAAATTTGAAGATCTAATTGGTATTATTAAATGATTCATGACGATTCAAGTTGGTCTCGGTAATGACGACTTTTCGTTGGCTGAGCTGTAACATTTTCCATTGGCTGGGCTTGTTGCTGAGCAAGAAGAAAATCTTCCTTCCTCTTACAGGGGTACTAAAGTAGATATATCTTCCTGTTTGGGGTAAAGCATGAGAGCTCCCTCTGTTAGCCTTCTCAACGCCAATTTTAATTGAGATTTCCTTCATTAGCTTCCCACATTATGACTAGATGAGGTTTTCCCCAAGTTGTATCATTTTCAAATGCATTTCCAGTGAGGTGAACTTTAGTTAGCTTTTAACTGGGTTTCCTTAGTTACAGGTTTTTTTCCTTCTAATCTGTATACAAATACAATATTGATTTCCTAGTATATTACGCAGGATTCTTTTGGTTGCAGATAATGGCTGGAACCCAAGTAAAACTGGCTTACAGAGGAACAAAAGGAATTTGTTGGCTCATTCAAGTATAAAACTGTTTTAAGACACTGCTGAATCTTAAGCCTCAAACTATGTCATCAGGTCACTGTATTCTGTATGCTGCAACTCTGATTTCCTTTGGGTTAGCTTCATTCTCAGGTTCTCCCCACAAAGTGGCAATGATGATCACCAATAACTTCAAACGGAAGGTCTATCAGTTTAGCAACATCAGGGGAAAGAGACTCTTCCTAGCCAAAATCCCAGGTGTAGCTTTTACTAGTCTAGCTGATGAGCTAATTAACTATGGCCAGGGAATGGACTCTTCTGATTGGCCAGTCCTGGTCATATGCTCGTGACTAGAGCTAGGGATTGAGGCAGGGGAGGGGTAGTTCTGCAAATGAAAATCAAGGCACTGTTTCCTGAGAAAGAAGGCATCGATGATTACAGCAAGTGTCCACTTTCATCAGGAGATTCCCTTGCTCTTGTGGGAGGAAGTGTGATATGATGAGAAGAACTATGCAAGACAAAGCTTGAGTTTTGGAATTCGCAGCCCTGTATTCTATTCCCACTTTGGTCAAGGGCCAGCTGTGAGACTTTGGCAAGTCAATTAACCTCTTTGATCTTTAGTCTCTTCATCTAACAATAGAGATAAAAACTCAGAGGTTGGAAGAGAAGGAAAAGGGATAGTGTTTGGCACTTGTTAACACTTCATAAAGGGTAACTTAATAAAACGAAATGGTTTTCGCATGTTTTAAAATCATAGTATTGTACTCTGGGATGACTCATACATTACCTCCCAGTGAGAAAGTCACAAATTCTCAAACCTCAGTTTCCTCTTTTGCAAAATGAATTAACTACTTAGATGACTCAACAAATATCTGTGAAGAGAATGTATCAGACATTTTTCTAGACACTGAGGCTATATGTAATAGTGATCAAGATATAACTAGGCGCTCTTGAAACATTCTAATGAGAGAGACAGATCACTAATAAAGGAGCAATTGAGTATTATATAATTTATGTGCTAGTAAGATAAAATAGAATGGATAAAGAGGATAGCAACTTACAGAAAACGAGGTCTGAAATTTTACTTTGATTATCAAGGAGATTCCGTGGGAAGTGTCGTTTGAGCAGTGTCCCTGAGGCCCTGAGGGGTGATCCACATGGGAGCATTCTAGGGAGAAGCAACAGTAAGTGAAAAAGCCCTGAGGTGAGGGCCTACTTTCATGGTCAAGGAAAATAGCAAAACCCCTGAGCTTGAGGGCAGCTGGGGTAGGCCATCAATAAAGTTGAGATTGGAGAGGAGCTGGGGCCAGATCATGTCAAGTCTGGTTGGCCATGATTTGAGTTTGGATTTTATTCTGTGTGACAGAACGCCACTAGAATTTTATGCAGGCAAGAAATGATCTGACTTACATTTTAAAAATATTATTCTGGCTACTGTGGGGAGAAGAGATGACAGTAGAGGAAGCAGGAGACCAGTTAGGAGGGTGGGAAGGTATTCCAGGGAAGGGAGATGGTTCCTTGCTGGGGCCGGGGTGCTGGTTCTGGATGTAATGAGAAATAAACAGGTTAAGAAATCATTTTTAAAATAGAGAGAATGAGTTTGCTGATAGTTTGGTTGTAGGAGGTGAGAAAACGAGATAGCTTGGTCTCAGTAACTGGGTAAATGCTGGAACTATTTACTGACTTGGAGAACACTAGGGAGGAGGAGGTTTTTGTGTTGGGAGTGGGAAATGAAGAGTTCAGCGGGAAATGCTTTTTAGTCATCCAAGTTGTCATGTCTGGTAGGCGATACGAGTCTGGGAAAGGTCAAGACTCGAGCTATCGTTTTGGGAGCCTCCAGTGAATAGGTGGTATTTTAGGCCACGGAAATGGATGTGATCACTTTAGGAATGATTTTTAGATGGAGGAGGAAGGAGAATGGAGCCCTATCACTTCAGTTGTTAGGGCTTTGTATTTAAGTATTTCAAATAAAAGATTATTCCAAATTCAAAAGTGAAAGAGATAGAAGTGGACAGAGCTACTTAGGAGGTTGAGATCAGGGTCGGGGTTCAGAGACCGACCTGCAGGCTGAGCCTTTCCCACACCTGCCCCCGATCCTGTTAATCTTAGAGGAACAAATGAGATCTGCATCCTTCCAAGCTCTGGTGGTCTGCCACTCTCCTCTTGGCTGCCAAGCATGTGTGTTTGGTCCACCCCGACCAAAGCATCCCAGGTCCAAGGCCAAGTTTCATGGTTCTGTTATGTAGATAAACAGATTTACAGTTTTATCTTGGTTAGATTTGATTAGAAAACCAGCAGATGGAATTATAGAATGTCAGAGCTGGAAGTGAACCCAGATATCATCTCTTCCAATCCTTTCTGCTTTTGAGAAGTGGATGATGAAGCTCAGAACAAAAAAAGGGACTTGCTGAGGGTAACCCCAGAAGCAACAGACCAAGCTCTGCCACTGCATCCTCTGATGCCTCATGTTGTGGAACAAATGTGTTGAGAATCAGGAATTCTTCTGAATAACAAAACTGTGCAGTCAGTCTGCAGGGGTGGGCAAACTTTTTGACTCGAGGGCCACAATGGGTTCTTAAACTGGACCGGAGGGCCGGAACAAAAGCATGGATGGAGTGTTTGTGTGAACTAATATAAATTCAAAGTAAACATCATTACATAAAAGGGTACGGTCTTTTTTTTTTTTTTTAGTTTTATCCATTTCACGGCTGGTCTAGAGTCTATTTAGTGAGTATCAATGAATGTCCATCTGTTAAAGGGCATAAGGCCTTCTAAGAGACTATGCTGGAGGAACTTTTGATAGTTTGAAAGTCAATTCCCCTTCAACTTGGAGTTCTTAGTCTGGGTTCGTGGATGGGCCTCAAGGAATCATGAGCTCCCCAGAAAGTGTGTATGTATGTGTGTGCACATCTATTGTTTTCTGGGTAGAAGTTCTCAGGAGTTTACTAGTTTTTCTAAGGGATACATGATTACCCACCCTTGAAAAGGGTTTAAGAAAAATCTGGAAATCTTCATAGAACGCAAAGTGACTGACCATTGTAGGCAATGCACTGTTCTAATCATAGCAACATAGCTGCCTATTTGCACTAGCTAGTGGCCTAATGAAGATCTTATAAATGAGCTATTTCTGGGAAGAGCAAAAAAATAGCAAATAAACTGATTAACAGTAAAAGAAGTACCTGTATGTTTTAATCTCCAGGAGATTAGTAAAATATAAGAAAACTATTTACAACACTCAATGGTGTCATACCTCAGTATGCCAATAGCTTTTTGTTGTGGTATTGTTTATTAAATATTTACTGATACTCTTCCAAAGCCTTAATAAACAGGAAGCAATGACTGGCATTTTTTTCCTCTACCAAGGACTTGTTATTTTCCTACCTGATCATCTAACTTATTATTTATTCCCACATTATAGGACCCTGTGGGTACTGAAATCCAACTCACCCATGCCTATTTCCTGTAATGGACGAACTTGATGCTAATGTGAGGTATGTGACTGTCCTGTGTGTATTGTGCTATACATTATGGCCATTTGAACTATGAGGTCTCTGTAAGAGAGTTAATGGATGTGGATTTTCTTTCATATATAATCATGAGTGTGGTTCTGTTCGGTTATTAGTGTTTTTGTTTTCACTTCTGCTTAAAAAATTAATAAATATGGCTATAAATGTTTCGAGATGCCTATACTAAAAGTCTGCACTAAGGGAGATATGTTATATGAAAGTAGATACTCATCTCTGTAATAGGAAGAAAGAAGATGTATTTAATAGCATAAAATAACTTTATATCATTTATCTGTACAGCTAAACGTTGAATATACATTTAGCTATTTATAGCAGTTTCTCATTTGCCCACTTCTTTTTTCAACCAGCTCATTAGATTATGTGACATGATGGTTGCGTGGTATAGTTATATAAACCTAAATGCCTTTTGTTTTGTTTTCCTGCAATTTCCTGCTGCCCTTGGAGATCAAATAATAGAATGGTTCCTGGGGAAGTTATTTCTTTAAGGGTTTGCTGCAGTTTTATTCGGCACAACCAAATAGTGGGAGGAAATTGTATTCAATAAGGCGTAAGTGTTATGGGTTGGCATCGGAGGCTGAAGACTGGCCGGATATACCGATAGCTGGAAGATGTTCTAAAAAAATGCATTCCCAGAGTAATTGTAGGACAGATTCCTTCCCCTGAGACCTGTGGAAAAGCACATTTCAGGTACACAATGGGGACACTGTGCCCGTGTATTGCATGTAGTAGAATGCTGTGACAAAAGAGAGCTGTCCAATGTCTTCACAGAAACACTAGTGTAATGTGACGGGGCTTCCAAAGATGTACTAAACCCGGGAATTCCTTAAGGGTAGAATGTGTCTCACTCATAATCCCTGGCACATGGTGAGTACTTAGTACAGGGTTGTTGATCAGCCCGTCTTTGATGTTACCACACATATTTCAAATGGGGTTGAGTTCCATTACACCTTGATGTGCAAAGGGGCTCTGACTGCTCAGCAATAAAACATTTTACATTCGCAATAGAAGCATCATGGACTTTGTTATTTACCCAGCACTGACTTGGGGCAGAGCCTTTGGATTTTATTTTATTTTATTTTAATTTTGTTATTTACCCAGCACTGACTTGGGGCAGAGCCTTAGGATTTTATTTTATTTTAATATTTTTTTATTGATTTCAGAGAGGAAGGGAAGAGGGAGAGAGAGATGGAAACATCCATGATGAGAGAGAATCATGGTGGACGGCTGCCTCCTGCAAGTCCCCCACTGGGGATTGAGCCCACAACCCAGGCATGTGTCATTGTCCGGAATCGAACCTGGGACCTTTCAGTTCACAGGCTGATGCTCTATCCACTGAGCCAAACCAGCTCGGGCGAGCCTTAGGATTTTAATGCAGATTTTTTAGGTTGGTGCCATGTGTTTAATTTTCGTCTAAAAGTTTGTGACATTATTTTTGTCCCCAAAACGCACAGTGGAATCTAGAGAATTTCAATTTGATTTTAGTTCATCCAGAGGCCAAAGTGAGCAATATCAATGGTGAAAAGTTATGAAATTGTTTTAAGTTTTAGACACTTTATCAACCTGCATCCGTTGGTTAAAATGCACTTCTTTTGAGGTAATTCAGATAGTATGCTCCCTAACAGTTGTAGCTTTTCAACCTTTATTTATAGCAGCATTGGATTCTAATGGCAGAATACAATTCAATTAAGTGAGCATTAGCCTTGGGTGCTGTCTATCCTGTATTGCTCAGGATACAGGATGCTAATCACTCCCCAGAATCTTGTCTGTGGACCATCCTCTCTGTCAGATTCCTCGCCTGATTCCATCAACATGTGCTCATCCTCGCCCACTCCCCATCTCCACCCACAGTATTGGAAACATGCAAATGCCACAGACTTTCCACCCATTTCTTCCTCAGTCCAGCCTCTGGGGGTGTTCATGATAAAAGATGTATTTTAGGTGCACATTTACCAAATTGTGATGTGTGGATCTCTGGTGATGCATAATGATTTTAGGTAGTTTATGAACATGTTTTTATTTTAAAATATTTATTTTAAGGTAATAGTCTTATCGTGATGAGTAATACTGTTTTGCACACTTACGGTAGTGACATGGAATTTCCTTTTAAAATACATTTATTTAAAATAAAAAATAAGTGTATTTAAAGAAAATGTTATGTATTTTAAAAATACTCATTAACAAATGAATGTGAAAAAAAATCACAAGGGTACTATGTAAATGACCAGGGTCTAGAAATGGATATTCCAGTTTACAGCGAGATAGAGGAAAGTTTATTACTTTCAGAGCAGAAACCAGAAATTCTTTTTTTGGGTAAGAAAATGTCTTCACTTGGTAAAATGCCTATATAAAGTACGAGCTGAAGGGCCCAAATCCCTGGCACAAGAGAGGAATTTTATTACATGCTCTCAAGATAGGAAAATGAGTGAGCAGGGAGGGAGAAGGTTGAAGAGACAAGATTCTGAGAAGGAGAGTCTGGGCTCTGCTTGGAAAAGGGTGACTATCCAGTGTCATGGTGGCTGTAGGGGACCCTGGGAGTAGACGGGTTGCATATCTGCATTTGTTGGTTTGTTTTAAATGTGAATGGTGCGTGTGCTGACCTCTTCCAGGATCCAGCTCTTCCATAAAACTTTCTAGCCTGGCTAGCCATTGAGCGTTGAATGTTTCTTATGTGTGAGGGCAACAAGAGCTATAAACTTATCATGCATTATCCTGTTCACTTTTTAAAACAATCCTATGAGGCACGTGCCAGTATTATATTCATTTTACGATGTGTGGTGACCAACGCACAAAGGTTCAGTAATCTGCTCAAGGTCATATAACCACACTGCCTCCTACTTCACTACAAACATTTTATGTGCATATATATGGATGTGTGAGTGTGTATTGGTGAGAGGCCCACGTGCCTGTCTGCGTAAATGTTATTTACAAGAGAGAATGCAAAATGGGCACCCAAAAGGCACAGGATGGCAGCAGACTAGATAAACGCCCGGGGAAATTCAGAAATCTGAGCAAAAGTTTTTTATTTCGACCAGCTGTAGAATTGAGAGACTCCAGCCAGTTTTTCCCGGATATCAGGGGTCAGAGAGTTTCTAGTCAACATTTAGAACCAAATAAAATGTCTAACATTTAAGCATTTTGTCAGGCCATCACAGCCACTTTTTTTTTTGTTCGTTTGGTTTCATTGAATTGAGTTTGCTAATTCAGTTTGCTCCTTACGATTATATATCTGTCAGTGTTCTTGGCTACAAGCATCAGAAACGAACTTGCTAACATATTCAAGGATAATTTTGGAGAAGCTACAATGTATAGGCTCAAAGAATTAAGGAGAAAATGCTAGAGGGCAGAGTTTGCAAATAAATAAGAACTTTGGGAATTCTCGTTGAGCTTGGAAGTGGAACAATGACCAACCCCAGGAAGAAGTGGTCAATACATTTCTGCATTGTGGGTGATGATCAAGAATTTCCCCTTGTATGCTGCTCAAGAGACAGAGTTCTGGGGGATGACATCTGATTGGCCAAGCCAAGTCACGTGACCAGTTGCTGTACACCTTTCCTAAGGGGAGAAAGGTACCATGCAGGAAGATGCCATACAATGGAGGAAAGTTCAATCCTCCAAAGATTTTTTAAGGAGAGGGAATAGAGACTCGGTAACATGTGACCAATGTCCAACTTGTAGCAATTGGATATTTATCTGTGATATTTAAATAATGTCGCTCCATGTTTGTTGTACATTCATTATGCATGAAAACTGTGTGTGAGGGGGAGTTAACCTAAGTACCTTTTCTTAAGGATTCCTGGGCTAGCCAGAGGACAACCACACAAATAGAATTTAATACAATAACAAAAGAACCCTAGTAATGAGATATACAGTGAGCTATATTCTCTCTGAACTGTGAGGTAGGACTTAAAAGAATACTCGAGCTTGATTTTGGAATTCTGAGCTCATTGCTAGCATTTTCCTTTAAGGGCATCCGTTGTAGAGAGTAGGATGTAGGATGGATTGACTCAGGATGAGAAGCCGGCCGTGAATCAGGGCCTGGTTGGAGAGGCAAGTTCTGATGAGTCTCCTCCTTTGGTAAACAGTGTCTCGCAAACTTAAGCAGATAGTAGTCAGCTTTGCAGACAATCTGACACCCACCTGATGTCATTTTTTTGGTCTGTTTGCGTCTTGTTGGGGCTCTGGAGGAGACAACTGCATTTTTTTTGAAGTGATGAAGAAAGGAAAATGGAAACAGTGGCTTCGGTGACTTTTCAGCAGGAACTCTTTGTAGAACATTATCAGCCTGCATTTGGGCAGTGAGCCTGGTGGGACCTTACTCCAGTGCTGTTCCCAAGCCCTCAGTGCTACCGACTACAGCTTATTGCCTGACTTCAGAGATAGCCCTTGCTTGCCTTTGTTTTGTTTTGGTTAAAGATCAGATGCTTTCCACTGACAAGTGGTTTTCCTCAGCTTGAGCATGATCCCTAAAGGCAATCCAGGTCTCCATCCTTTTCTTCCTGCTGCTTTTTACAGCTAACATGTTTCTGCTTTCTAAGAAATCTTCTATCAATTTCCAGTTCTAGAAAGTACAGGGTTCAGGTAGGCGATAAGTGGAGGAAAGTCCAAATGTATACAGACTCTTTCTTTGACAATTTCTCAGGATAATAGCCCCAGACTCTGAGTGGAGAAAAAGTTTATTCATTCCCTCTCTCTCTCTCTCTCTCTCTCTCTCTCTCTCTCCCTTGGCTTCCTCCTACCCTTGACTCATCTCCTTGTCCCATGGGCTCTCTACACTTTCCTGCTACCTTGCCCCTGTTTAATAAGAACATGTTGGTTTAAGATTCTGTTTCTCCTCTATAGAGTAACTGTTGTGCTTTCTCATGAATGTTTCTCATTTAAAAATTTTTTAAAAAGCATCTTTACCATTGAATCACATCAATGGTAAAATTTTCCTCCCTTTGCTAGGGTTTCTGGGAAACTTAGAG